TGATTACGAACAACTATTGCATAATGTGAAACCGAAATGTCCTAATTTAGAAAACATAATTATTATTGATAATGAATGGCATCAAGTAATGAATTTTAGTGAACAGATCACAGATGACGAACTTGATTACAATGAAAGTCGAGTGCAGTTCGATGAAGAATCGGTTCGATTATTGACGTGTTGATGACTAGCGTACTCTGAAAAGTAGTACGATAGTCACCTTCGGTAAAAGACAATTTTGTGATACATGAACAACTCACGTAGTATATTCATATATTGGCTGATCAGTAAAGGAGCGCAAGTCGCTCGAAAAACATAAGGCAAATGAGTTAGAATAACTGACGGAATAATCCTACCGCACCCTCCGATTAATATTCAGTACACATCCGGTACAACTGGACATCCAAAAGGTGTAACATTGTCACATCACGGTATATTAAACAATGCTTGTTCAATAGCCAAGAGATTAAATTNTACAACTGGACATCCAAAAGGTGTAAATGAGTTGTTCATTTATGTCCTAGGATGACCATGTCTTGATTTCGTATATATGTTTTCATTGGAAAGTGTCATTGTCTAGTTAGGGAGATCATAAATCAATAATGCTCATAATAATCGTATCGACTACCATTGTCACATCACGGTATATTAAACAATGCTTGTTCAATAGCCAAGAGATTAAATTATACAGAATATGATCGTGTTTGCATTCCCGTACCATTCTATCTGACAAAATTCATTTATTATGAAACTTATTTTTGTGAACCAAAAATATTTAGATCTGACTCTAATTGTAGCTTTTCATCATCAGAATTTAGCGGATACTGTCGCCATTAAGAATATCCACTATATTTGAACTTTTTGTATTGTTTTGGTATGATTCTGGGCAATTTAGCTTGTACTGTAACAGGTGCATGCATAGTGATACCATGTGAAATATTTGATGCTGAACAAGTAATGAAATGTGTTGAACAGGAAAAATGTTCATCGTTGTATGGTGTACCGACAATGTTCATAGCTGAGCTGGATCATGTAAATTTTGTCAAATATAATTTTAGTTCATTGAGAACAGGCATTATGGCAGGAAGTATCTGTTCAACTGAACTAATCAAATCTGTACAAAGTAAAATGAACATCAAAGAGCTAGCTGTCTGCTACGGCATGACTGAGACATCTCCAGTTTCAACACAAACATTGCCCAATGATTCATTAGAAAATAGAGTAACAACGGTTGGGAAAGTACAAGACCATGTGGAAATTAAAATTATTAATATTCATTCAAATGAAACTGTTCAACGAGGACAAATAGGTGAATTTTGTGTAAGAACCAGCTATTCATTTTTTAAATGCAGACCACTATAAGTACTGTACTACGTTGTTTTCTGGGCAATGAAGTTGGATCTCACAAGCATACATAATTTACGAATAGTTGCAAGGCTATCATGTTATGATTGGTTATTGGAATAATAAAGTAGAAACAGAGAAAATAATAGATAACGAGGGTTGGTTACATTCTGGTGATTTAGCAATTATGAATGATGATGGTTATATAAAAATTGTAGGACGTATTAACGATATGATTGTTCGCGGTGGTGAGAATATTTATCCAAAAGAAATTGAAGAACTCTTATGTAAACATCCGGCAATCAGTGACGTTTATGTCATAGGTATACCAGACAGAAAGTATGGCGAACAAGTTATGGCCTGGGTTAAATTAAAATCGAACATAACAGAAGTAAACGAGGAAGCCCTTCATGATTTTTGTAAGAATCAAATTTCCCATTATAAAATACCACAATATTGGAAATTTGTCCAAGCTTTTCCAGTTACCGTAACTGGGAAAATACGTAAGGTAGAAATGAGAGAAATAGCAATTCAAGAATTGAATCTTAAACTTAAGAAACCTTAAAAGACTATGATAGTTTCTTTTGTAATGTGTCAGTTGTATACTGACCTTCTTTTGTTACTTAGCAATACAACATTCGATAATACAACAGATATTCATCTAAAGACATACCCTCATCATCATTTGATCTGTGGTTGAACTGCAACCGTTACATGAGTTTTGCAACCTACATATGAGTTTTAACAACTTCTGAGACGGTTTGTTTTATTCGATTTTACCGATATAATCTAGGCTATATAATCTGGTGATCGTGAAAGTTTTGGTTAAACCCATTTTTGTTTGAACTTTTTCGACGCTTTAAAATGGCCATAGCTCTTTTTCTAACAAGACTATACACTTGCGGTTTTCACCATTCGGTTCAGCTTGCTGAGCTCTATAATATGAGATAGGTCTCGTCAGTGACGTCAAAGGTTAATGTAAATGGTGGTTGGTTTTTATGGACTCAGCCTATCTGTCGATGCCGAAACATGGTTTTTCAATAGTATTTATGGTGTTAGGACACCCAGATCCAATTTGATCTCAACGTTTTATATATCATTTTGTAGCCCGTGAAATTCTCTATCGAGTGGTGTACAGTGGTTGAGGTTTGCTTTGAGCAAAGAGAAGAAATGAGAAAAATAGTCTAAATAAAGTTCATCTCATGGGAGAAAAGTTTGTATGCGAAATGTTTTCCATGGGGGGGAGTGAAAATGGTTCTTTTGAGGTGCTAGTTTTGATCACGGAGAAAAACTACATCAGACCTGTGAATATGAGCTTGATCTGAGAGGGGGCCTAGTAAGCTGCTCGAATCTGTGCCGATGTGCACGATTTCAATATGGAACGTATTCGTATCAATATGTCCCTACTGTTAAATGAATATCCACCTGCACTTATCACCCAGCATAGCAGTCGATTTTTTGAGCAATACAATGCAATGGGAGTGTTGCAACACTTGGATGCTAACGCATATTATTAACTACACCAAAAACTACTGCATCAACCAACAAGACGAGAAAAACAACAACAATCCATTAACACACAAATAGGGGAAACGCCCGAATCATTAACAAAGTACAAAGCATGGGACTCCAACATCATGTATCCACGCTATCACTTTGAGACCGGGTCTCTTCTGGATTTCCTTATTATTTTGCATTAATGTTTCTCTAACGAGAACTATTCGAGAGGGTACTTGAATGCATAACAAATATTGTCCCATTTTATAGTTCAGGTATCTCAGAAGCCGTAAATGCACAAACTTTGCAAACAAAACTTTAGATATTCTCTAACCCCGGTACCCTAGACAAAAAACATTTGTGAAATCTTATAAGAATCTTACAAGAGAACGATAAGCGTTTTTCCTCTCGAAAATACCATTTTCTAAAGACTATAGTGCTGTCGTTTGGTACTTTTGGAAGCACTGTTTCCCCACCAGAGGGCTAATCTTTTCAACAAAAAAATTTCGATTTATATGTAACTTGACATGATGAGAATCGTAAAGTATTCCGTGATGAAATCTTAGGGTCGAAGGAAGAGGAAAAAGCTTGTGCCGATAGCTGCATTGTGCCTTTGACATTTAAGTGAATGCCATCTTTTAGTAACATATTGTTTGAATATCCAACTTAATGACATCAATGACATTATCTTGCAATGATAATAAACGTCCCAAATCCGTCTGTTCTATGGAACAGATTGATGGGCTTTTTGTCCCGCATTTTTTTGAAAATATCTTTCTGCTGTAATAAACCGTAACTGTTACAAGAGACGCTTAAAGTCTTAAACTTATTTTTGCAAAAAATTTATCCTAGTTTATATATGGAACATCTGCTCAATCTTCTTAAATTCCGACTATTTCACCCCACCAGGTTAATTTTTGTCTACTTGATGGGGAATCGAGAAGTACGCCAATATGACTTTCGCCAAACTGGAAATTCACCAATTGGCGTAGGTACATTGAACTTCACCAGTACACTCCACTGCCGCTCGCACTGGGCGAAAGTCTAGGTGGCGTACCTCCATGATTCCGGTTGATGTAGTATGGGCTTCAGTTTAATAATGAAAAAAGCGATTTGTCTACGATAAACATCGTTGTGCTTTTCTTGGTTCTGAAAGTGTCTATTTACTTTTGATGTTACTATATCTATATTTTTAGATTAACTGTGCTCCACTCGCCTTTTGTTTTATCATTTCGTTTTATATTGATCTGCCATGGTCAATAACACAATTGCAAAAAGTTATACGCATGATTGCGGATTACAATAGTTGTACAACACTCGATACGTGCTCCAATGAAAGTACGAAATTGACTGATGATTTCTACTCACAACGTCGTTTTAGTTGCACGCAGTTATACTGGTGCCCAGAATATGATTCAACGGGAAATACACCAGCGATTCCTTATATAGTTTACATTCGTCAAGAAGGTTACATAGTTACATGGACATATGTCAAAATATATTGGTAAATACCGGTGCATGCCCAGTACCGGTATGCATATCGATTGAACAAACAAATACCTAGCAAATACCACCTAACTTATTTAACACTGTTTCTATTCTTTTACGATTGTGATTTCGTTTTATTTATGTGAACGAAACATATATTGCGGTTGCCTTGTCAAGGCTTAATCGTGGAAATTATTGCTCAGCGACAGTGAATATTCAAATAACTGTCAAACATCATAGATCCTATTATTTCAACTTTTTTTGTTGATGTGCAATTTTCTATTTTTTCTCAAGTCACCAGCTAAATTTCCTTTTTTTGTCTATATTGATATATAGATGGCATAAACATAGTCTAAAATCACCTCACCATCTATATTTCACTAGGCAACAGTACATTGACTCGGCAAATATTTGTGGAATATTTTTCTTAATTGCAGCGATGAAATGGGAGAAAACCGAAAATTTGTAGCCAGAGCATACCATTCTGTCTATCATCGGCCGTACAGTTCGAAATATAATGCACTTAACATTTTGTGAATATATGAAGAAAGATAAATACAGATCTGTTGTTTTCTCTACTGTTGTTTTCTCTAGTCAATAGAAGAAACTGACGTGTTTACTCTAGCAAGAAAATGTTCAATAATTTGACTCCGCAGTGGATTTGTGGGGTCTCTGGTTTTCCAATCACTCAAGTGATCGTGTGTTTCGTTCGTTACATTGAAGGCAGCTAAAAGTTTTCGGTTTGATTTGCGGCTCGTCCAAAACTTCGATCTTCAACGGTTAGGGCGTTTATCGGAGAATTAGTGCTTCGTTTCTCGATGTGATCTAAAAATGACATCCTGAGTGCGCGAGAGCGAGTGTCGTCATGACGTTTGACTTTTGAAGAAAAAACCTCAGAAGTCGAATGAACATCAAGTTTTACGAAAATTAGGATTTTCCATTCATCCAGCAGTAAGAAACTCATAACTCACTCAGAATTAAGCAGAATAACAGAAAAAGTTTAAGACAGATACTCAGTATTATATAATAACCACTACCTCAAGAAAAGACTTTTTGCTTTGAAGGTTTTCTAGAAACCCTGTGAAACTCCAGATTAGTTGCTTCACCTTTTCGTTCTTTTAATATGCAGAAACTTTCTAATGTGAAATTTAGTATTGCCAATGTTTTCCAAGTAATTCATAAGCTGAAAAATTAAATATCCATCGGCATTGATGAAAGCCCCGTTAAGTTATTAAAGTTATGTGCAGACGTTCGTTCTCCGCAGTTACATCACATGTTTTCTCTTTCTCTCCAAATCTGCTTGTTCTTTAACATCCGGAAACAAGCTATTCTTCGAATGCTACAGAAAAAGAGAGATAAATTTGCAGTTGAGAACTATTGTCCCATCTCTATTCTTTCATGCCTCGGTAAAGTTTTAAAAAAAGTCGTTCTCATCTTCTACATGTCATTAACATTTGTAACACATACCGTCACCGTCCAACAACCAACACTTGATGATTATGCTTCGCTATAAATCAAATATCCGCAAACATTGGTATGTCCATGTACTAAGATCGCAATTGAATACCAAAGTTGCTTTCTTCAC